ATTTCCTATCCGAAACAGACCCAGCCTCTTGGTGTGATCTACGATCTCAGGCTGTACGTTGCTGACCGCAAGGAGGAACGTCCTCACAAGCGGAACTCCGTCGGCTTTGCTGTCCGAAAGGTCCAGTACGCCTGCCCTGGATCCAGCAACCGTCAGCCACAGACCCTGGTCAGCAAGGGCTTCACTCTTTCCCCAGGAAGGCTCAACCTCGAGGTCACTCTGCCTCAGGATGTCTACTTCCATGGACAGCCCATCGAGGCAAAGCTTTCCGTCAACAACGTGTCCAAGAAGACCGTGAAGAACATGAAGGCTGAGGTTGTGCAGCACGTGGAGGTCACCATGACCAACACTCACTTCAGCCGAGTTGTGGCTTCACTCGAGTCTCGCGAAGGATGTCCCATCACCCCAGGATGCAACCTCACCAGGACCTTCTCCCTCAACCCTGTTGCCTCCGTCAACAAGCGACGCTTCGGCATCGCCCTCGACGGTCAAGTCAAGGACCAGGACGCCAACTTGGCATCGTCTACCTTGGTGGCAGAAGGTAAGAACGTCAACGACGCCTTGGGCATCATCGTGTCGTATTCTGTCCGCGTCAAGCTCAACTGCGGCGCCATTGCCGGCGACCTGACTGCCGACCTTCCCTTCAAGCTGGTGCACCCCGACCCTGCCTCCGTCAAGGCTCCACTGCGCAAGACTCAGTCTGCCGATATCGAAGTCGAGGAGTTCTCTAACTTGCGCCGTGGTCAGTCCATTGCTGAAGAGTAAAATTGCTCTGAACTTCTAATCCAAAACTAGATCAGGCCCACGAATTGGCGAAGCAGCTGACGAAACCCATATTACCATCCTAATTGACGATATGAACAATTTGACTGTAATTGGCATTACATTGGATAACCATAATGAGATTAACAGTGTAGAAATAAAGTAAACATCTATCACTCTCTTTTAATAACCGCAACAGCCTAATCAGTTATTAAAGGTAAATAAATGAAATGTCAGCATGGCATTGGAACTAAACACTCATAATATACATGTACGTTTGCTCATGCATCAACTGATTCATTTATTTATCTATTTATTTACTCGTTTGTCTAATACCTCTCATAATTATGTCAGTTCACACTGTAGTTTTCCGCCTGCGATTGAATATAACATGTAAAGAAACTTTTAGCTTAAGTTCAATTGAGAATGAGAGACAGCGGTAGGTAATACACCATCGCACAAATGTACGAAATATCAATGTTATTAGATCATTGCAGTTCTTATTTGCATTAAAATCCATATGTTTAACTCACTATCAGTATGTACAAAAATGAGTACAGAATTCGTTGGTAGGAGGAAGAACAATAATCAAAACTATGAGTAACATGGATTAAGATATTTTAGGACAATGGCAATAATAGCAAAACTGATGACAATCATATTTTGCCCAATATATCGGTATCATTAGTCACTGAATATTCATTTACAAAAACGTTTTATTAAATACATCATGAAAACTGTACAAATATATATCCATCTTACAAACATACATACATGTATATTAGTCAAATCATCCGCAAATTGAAACAGAATAATGTAGGCTTAGCATAAGATAAAGTAATATAACTGGTTAATCGAGTTATTCCAAGCTTTACTTATCGCATTATTTTCTTAAGGTTCATATAGTTTCTTACTGTTTTCTGATGACTTCCACCTTTAAATCTGAATAAATCAACCTTGAAAACTGCCATATTCACGTGCTTAGGATTGACTGAACACTTACCGGCAGGACTTAAAGTACTTGATTTGTATGATTGTTCATAATTACTGAAATCAAGGAATTCTCTAGAAGTTGCCCCTCAGCCCAGCTTCCAGATGACGGTGGTATTACCTTTGAAGATACTGATAAGTGATTCATAGTTTAGTTATTGTTGACTAGTTTGAGAAATTTATGACACTGATGGTTACAGAGCTCTTTTCTTTTCTGTTACTTGGAAATTCATACACACACTGTATACCTATCTTTCTATCTATACACAAACACACACACATACACACACACACACATACACATGCACACACACACACACATACATATATATATATATATATATATATATATATATATATATATATATATATATATATATATATATATATATATATATGTATGTATGTATGTATATATATGCATTTATGTATTCATATATATATATATATATGTGTATGTGTGTGTGTGTGTGTGTGTGTGTGTGTGTGTGTGTGTGTGTGTGTTTGCGTGTGTGTGCGTGTGTATGCGTGTGTGTGTGTGTGTGTGTGTGTTTATATGTGTGTATATATATAAATAGATAGGTAGATAGATACATATCCATACATACATACATACACACACATGTATATATATATGACTATAACATACATTTTCATACAATAAATGACACACCATGAAAGAACAAGACAGCAACATAACAAACTAAACACAACAACACAAACAAACAGATGTCACACATATAAAAATTCAGACATCGATCCCCCATTCCTTCTTGACGTCGTCCGCTGCTTTTTCGGCGATCATGACAACCGGCGCTAAGATGGGGCCGGATGTAATAACGGGCATGACCGAGGCATCCACAACTCGCAGCCCGGACACGCCTCGTACCCTGGTGGAGGAAGGGCATTGTGGGAAAAGTGATCCGGAGGAAATAGGAGTAAGGGAAAGTTCAATGAAGTGTCTGATGTGGGAGTAAGGGAAAGGTTCAGTTAACACGTGTCTGATTCTGCATTCTAGATCAGGTAGAATTTCGTCTGTGTGGTGTGTGTGTGGAAATTTGTGTGTGTTTGTGTGTAGTATTGTCTAGAAACTCTTGTAACTTGTTTGTTTTTGTTTGTCTTTGTGTGTGTGACTGTGTTTTCCTTGTATATTCATCAGTTGGTTAAGGTCTTCTTCTCCGTGTTTAAAATGGCTCACAAAAGGGCTACCTATTCGAGTTTGCAGGTAAACACCTCTCTTTTATCTCTCTCGTATCTCTCTCTCTCTCTCTCTCTCTCTCTCTCTCTCTCTCTCTCTCTCTCTCTCTCTCTCTCTCTCTCTCTCTCTCTCTCTCTCTCTCTCTCTCTCTCTCTCTCTCTCTCTCTGCTCTCTCTCTCTCTCTCTCTCTCTCTCTCTCTCTCTCTCTCTCTCTCTCTCCTCTCTCTCTCTCTCTCTCTCTCTCTCTCTCTCTCTCTCTCTCTCTCTCTCTCTCTTCTCTCTCTCTCTCTCTCTCTCTCTCTCTCTCTCTCTCTCTCTCTCTCTCTCTCTCTCTCTCTCTCTCTCTCTCTCTCTCTCTCTCTCTCTCTCTCTCTCTCTCTCACTCTCTTCGTTTCCACATGCACTCACCTGAGTTTGTGATCAACCACGGCGTCCGGGTCCGAGACGGGTCCCATCTTGCAGGTGCCAGCCGGGTGCCAGAAGGAGGATGCCATGTGACGTACATAACATGCCCAGTAGTCGTCGGTGCCAAAGGATTTCAATTTGCACCCTGGGACTGGCTGTTGCGGAAAGGGAAATGGGATTTATCGGAATCAGTGCTTGCTAGATTTTTTTTTTTTTTTTTCGAAGGAAGAGAAAGGAGAAAATGATAAGAAACAGACACATATATATCATGTGTGTGGGTCACGTTTTCAGTGAGTTAAAAGTTCAATTTCATGAATGATTGCACCAGTTAACCCTATCGCCCTGGAGGAGGTATGCGTTCTCTGAGTAATAGTTTGTTATCATCGTTATCATTATCGTTGTTACTATCATTATCATTATCATTGTTATGATTATTGTTATCTTTAACATTATCATCATCATCCATCACCATCCTCATTATTAATGTTATCATTATTAAGATTATTGTTTTTGTTATCAACATTATCATTATTATCATTATCAATATCATCATCATTATCATTATTATTATTATTATTATTATTATTATTATTATTATCATTATTGTTATTATCACTAGCATTATTATTAACATTATCATTATTATATCATATTATTATCATTATCATCATTATTATCGTTATTATCATTATCATCATTATTATCGTTAACATTATTATCATTCTCTTCATCATCAATGTCAATGGTAATGGTAATTAACTGATCATAACTACTGCAATCTGAAATCTGAAAATACAAAATACATAATAAAAAGTCACCCTTACCTTGTCGTGGAACTCGGCACCAAAATTTTCCATGAAACTTGTTCCGTTTCCTAAATTTAGCGCAATTTTGATACCTGTGGAGAGAAAAAAAGTGAAAATTATGAATATCTAGTTATTTTTGTTTTGTTTTCCTGTTTACTTATTTGGTTTATCGTTGGAGTATATGTATAGATAGGTATATGAATATATGGATGGAAATGGATACAGAGACGAAGATAGATGTAGATATTGATTTTAGATATGGATAGGTATGTATGTACGCATTTCTATCTGTGTGTGTGTTTGTGTTTTTTTTTTGTATTTGTGTTTGTGTGTGGTTGTGTACGTGTTATTGTGTGTGTATGTGTACATGTATATGTGTGCATGTGTATGTGTGTGTGTGTGTGTGTGTGTGTGTGTGTGTGTGTGTGTGTGTGTGTGTGTGTGTGTGTGTGTGTGTGTGTGTGTGTGTGTTGTGTTTGAATGTGTGTGTATGTGTGCATGTGTATGTGTGGATGCGCGCGTGTGAGTGTGTGTGTGTGGTTGTGTGTGTTTGAGTGTGTGTGCATGTGTGCATGTATATGTGTGCCTGTGTATGTGTGCATGTGTGTGTGTATGAGTGTGTGTGTGTGGGTGTGAGTGTGTTTTGAGGATAATTCCGTATTTTATTTCACTAACCGGCAACCAACGTCTCAAGATCATCGGGGTGACTTAAATAATTTGGATCAATGACAGGCAAATCAGTCGGGTTTCTTGACCGAAGCGTGACCGAACCCCGACTTTTCGGTCTCAGGAGGCTAGGCAGGAGTGTGAAGCCTTCCCGGCCAAATAGGGGTATGTAATATTTTTTATATTTCTGAAAGAGAGGAGAGAGAAAGTACTAATTAATTATTGTATTTATAATCATATAATAAACATCTGAAATTGATGAGTAAAAGTGTTTTTTTCTTTTTCTTTTCTTTTCTTTTTTTACATAATACTTGTTGCATATCTGATAGAAAGAAGAGAAAATTCATAATTTTACACTTGATACACCTCAACAATACCCTTTTATCCTGCCATATGAACCTAAAACTTAACTCTACAAAAGTGTTCAACTAATAAGAAAAAGTGTAGTTGAGAAATATTACTCAAAACACACAATACAGTGCCGTAAATTAACTCTACAATACAATAGCACACAACGGCAGTGCAATACAATACATAATGATATAAAATAAATATATATCATAACAAACAACAAAATAATAAATAATACACAAAACACAGTGTGCAATAACGTAAATTAACAGTACAATACAATAACACATAAAAACAGTGCAATACAATACATACTGATAAAAAATGTAAATACACATGATCACAACAAACAACAACATAAATACACATGATCATAACAAACAACAAAATAATAAATAATACATAAAACAAAACGCAAAAAAACATCAAAAAGTTACAAAGGTCATACCAGCTCGTCCATCCTATACACGTGAGGCGAGAAGAGTCCTAGGTCGAGGTGCTGGGCCGCAGGAGAGAGCCGGACCTCCACGTCGGGGTGACCCTCGTGACCTCCTTCCGTGACCTTGAGCCAGACGCTGCCGTGGTCCCCCAAGGGCGCCGCGTAGGGACCTGTGGCCGAGGAGAGGTTGAAGCTAAGGGGGGGGGGGGAGGGGGGAGGGGTCACAGGGTGTTCAGGAATGGGGGAAAGATTGTGTGCGTGTGCGTGTGCGTGTTCGTGTTCGTGTGCGTGTGTTTGAGCGAGTATTTACACAGGTATAGAAATACAAAGAACAAATAAATAGACGGATATACAGACAAGATCACGAACAGACAGACAAGTAATTAAGTAGAAAGACTAATTTTTTCAACTTATTCTATTTACTTTATCGCGCAAGACTATTTTTTCCAATCTCTCTTCATCCACCTGTGCGCGGCCCAATCGTCCACATCAACCGAAAAGGAACTCTCACCTCCTCTTGTCTTCACATAACTCTTGACTGCATCCGGACTCAGACTCGTACCCAGCAGAGGGAGGGAACCTTGGCGGACGGTCCAGGTGAGTCCGAACACCCCTAGGTGGTCCTGCAGGTTCTGGCCGACGCCGGGGATGTCTGCTATCACTTCCACCTGAAGAATTGCTTTCTTTGTGGACTTTGTTTTGGGGGAAAGTATGCAAGATGTTGCCCAGGAATAAATATAGTGAGAGTTTTGCATGTTTTTTTAATCTCGCATTTTGGCTCTAATGTTATGTTTTTTTTTGTTTTTTTTTCAAGTAATACAAATGTTCAAATAGAAAGTTCAGAAGTTAAGGTGTCGTATATATAATGTATTCAAAATAGACTTCGAATGGGACAAATAATGAATATGAAAATGTTCATGATATCGCTGAAGCACAGATGCATATGGAAACTTTGATAACCATTCAGATTATACTCGAATGTTGATGAAGAAAGGAAAGTCAGTGATAAAAAGGCGAACACGGACAGGCAGAAGATCAGAAAGAGAGAGAGACAGACAAACAAACAAAGAGAGAGAGAGAAGCTGACAAACAAAACGGTAAAGAGAGAAGTAGATGTACAGACAAACACAAACAGCCAGAGAAGCAGACAGACAAACACAAACAGCCAGAGAAGCAGACAGACAAACACAAACAGCCAGAGAAGCAGGCAGACAAACAGAGAGAAAGACAGGCAGACAAACATACGAATGGACAGAGAAAAGCAGACAGGGCACCACACTAACAAACAAACACACAAGCGGATTTAATTAATCATATCTGTTGGACTGACGTTGTGGCGAGCGAGGTGGCGAGCGGGACCGACACCTGACACCATAAGCAGCTTCGGCGACGCCAAGGCACCTGTTGTTAGGATGACCTCCCGCTGAGCGAACGCGGCGGAGACCTGCCAAGGGAAGGTCTTTTTAGGCTCTTTTCGTTTCTTTTTAGGTTCTTTTTTCTTTTCTTTTTAGGTTCTTTTCTTAATTTTAGGTTCTTTTCTTTTCTTTTTAGGTTCTTTTCTTTACTTTTAAGGCTCTTTTCTTTACTTTTTAGGTTCTTTTCTTTTCTTTTTAGTTTTTTTTCTTTACTTTTTAGGTTCTTTTCTTTACATTTAAGGCTCTTTTCTTTTCCTTTTAGGCTCTTTTCTTTTCTTTTTAGGTTCTCACTTTTCTTTCGTATCTTTTCGTCTATTTTCGTCTCATAGTTGATTTTTTCTATATCTTATCTTTTGTTTATTTCCGTTTATTTGTCTATGTCTTCTATATAGTTTCGTCTGTTTTCACCTCATAACTGGTTTCGGCGATGAAGCATCTTTCTATAAATTGCACATTCTATTATTTTCCCCAGACAAGTTGATTGCAACGAATTACTCTTATGAAAATATGCAGTTTTAATATCACTAATTGAATATATTCAGAAGTACTATAAACAGAAAGCCTCACTAAATTGCCATTAATATCATTAAAGTACTATTATTCCTCTTGCACTAAGGTTCGATAAAAGGGAACTATAGTACATTGAATTGTATGTTGTTATCAGTGGGTATATGAAACCACAAAGAAGGTTTGCTTATTGTGTGAATAATAGTAGATAAATGATCCAAAGAGTGTTGATCTGTTTGTATAACTTGTATGGCGATAGTGAACATAAAGAAGTACCTTTGACTTCTACAAAGTCTATGTCTATATAATACCTCGTTGTATGTCACATATTGACCTGATACTTGACACGGTCACGTCCAAACACTAACGTTTCCGAGGAAAAAAATTTCCAACACTTTTCTTTCTTCTTCATTCTTCTCTCTCTCTCTCTCCGTCTTCCTCTCTCTTTTCTCTCTCCCTCCCTCTCACGTCTTCTCCCTCTTCCTTTTATCTCTCCCTCCTTTCCGTCTCTCTGCTCTCTTTCTCTCTCCCTCCCTCTCCGTCTCTCTTCTACTCTTTCCTCTCTTCCCCTCGCCCTCTCCCGTGTCTCTTCCCTCCTCTTTCCTCTTCCTTCACTCCCCTCTCCCCTCTCCACCTCTCACCTCTCCCTCTCCCTGCTTCCCTCTCACCTACTCCCTCTCCCTCTCCCTCATGCCCTCTCTCTCTCCCACCCCCGGACCTGTTACGAACATGTTATCTTTATTGACAAGCTCACCTGTGTCCCCCAAGTGTCCACCGCGATAGTCCTCCGCTTTCCTGAAGTAGTAGAGCACCGATTCGTAGTCCCAGCCGGGGTTGTCAAGGTCCGCCCAGTGATCGAAGTCTCGACGATTCCCCCGGACGTAGAGCATCTCGTTGGTGGTGCTGGAGCCTCCTAGAACGCGTCCTTGGAGAATAGGTGCGCTCTGCAGGGGAGTGGTTCAATGTACGTATTTTGTATTCCCGCGACAGTTTCTCGTTCGTAAGCGGATTCAAAATACTTTGGGGAAATTGATAAGAATGATTGATCAATTCATGTCTGCTTTTCACTGATTGCTTGTCGAGGATTATAAATGGCAGAATCCAAGAAACTGAATAAAAGAACAGACAAACGAGTAAATAAAAAACAAACAAAACAGCAAAACCCACTAATAATGGAATGAACAGAATAACAACACACCTGCCCGTCATAATTCTTCAGCGCGTTCCTCTGCCGCTCCGTCACGTAATCCCAGTTGTTGTTCCCCCGAAGGTACCCCAGCCCCTCGAGGCCAGGGACGTAGCTCTCCAGGGGCGGCGACCCCCCGGCCTCCAGCACCAGCACCCGCCACCAGCTAACTTCGGCGAGTCGGGCGGCCACCACACTTCCGGCCGTCCCCCCGCCCACTGCCGAGACCAAAGGGCGGATTGAATGCTCGCTTAAATGACGTGAAAGTTGAAAGTCGAATGTATGTAATAATGCATGGAGGGAGAGGTAGTGGTAGAGGGGGGGGGGGAGCACAGAGGCAAATGTAGATAGGTGGGCAAATGGATAAGCAGAAAAATAGATAAACAGATTGATAGACAGGTGATTAGGAGGAATGGAGGGAGGGGAGGGAGAGAGGGACAGAGAGAGAGAGAAAGAGAAGGAGAGAGACAGAGAGGCGGTAAGAAGACCTGCAGGGTAACAAGGTCTATATAGATCTTGCAGGGTAATACACACATGCAGACATACGTACATGTGCACATACAGAAAGAGACAAGGAGAGAAGGGGCGCGCGCGCGAGAGAGAGAGGAGAGCAAGACAGACAGACAGAGCGAGGCAGTCATAGAGAAGAAAGAAAATAGAGAAAGTGTAGTATGTGTGTGTCTGAAGTTATGTTTGTGGGTTTATAAATTTGGTCGAACCCTAAAGCTCTATTCACATATTCATGTTAGATATAATTCTTTAAAGCTAAGTGTTGCACAAATTACGCAAAAAAGAATCATTGACCATTTTGCAGTTGGTATCATTCATTATATTTCAGTTTCTTTATATTTCAGATGTTGTTTAAGGTTTATTACCCTTTATTATCAAAATATTTTTTCAAATATTTTTTGCTTATTTCATATTTCTTGCTGTTAAATCTAATCTAATTTTCATTTTGAATTAACGAAATCTCTTTTAAGCAAAACACACAATCGTTGGCTTAGAAAAAAATAAAAGAGTATGTGCAGATTTCAATAATCTTTTACGTTTTCTTTGAAGATTTCACAGAAAACGTTTACTATAAAAGGGTAACTATATTATCGTTTCGGTAGGATTTGGATATTCATTTAATTTATATCTTTTCATTCATGTTTTTGTATTTCAGTATTGTGCGTATCAAAAAGCTTAAAATACAACATTGTTGAAGTTTGAAGTATACCAAATGACCTGACTGATTTGTAGAAAATCGGAAACCATAGTATTTCAGATAATGAG